ACCCCCTCCCCCTTCTCTGTAACATAGAATGTAGTAAAATAAATTTATGTAGGTATAAAATATACTTTGTTTTTGAAATGTCAATGTCTTAAGGAATTTAGCAGAAGGTCTGACCAGGGCCTGACTTGTTTAGATTTACTTATAAGAATTGCAGACTGGACACTGAAAGTCTGTTGGAAGTTGTGCCTTTTTTGCTTAGAAGTCCATTGAAAGTCCATTGGAAGTCCAGTGGAAGTCCAGCAGACTGAGAACTTAGCAATTATGATGGTTTCTGCCTCTGTCCATTGGAAATCCAACGGAAGTCCAGCAAATGTCCAACGGACACAGAATTCCGGCCAGTCCAACCATTTCTTACTTCTAAGTAGTTTGAGTGGACTTTCACTGGACTTTGCCTGGACTTGCAGCGGAATCCAGTCATGTCCAACGGACTCCGACGGTCTTCCGACGGACTGTCCACTGAGTCCATCGGAAATGGCAGGGTCCGATGAAAGTCCATCGGAGTCCGTTGGACAAGCAGTGGGAGTGTAAAGTACTGCTTATATACTACAAAATGTAACTACTAGAATATACTACTAATTACTAGATACATGTAAATTGTTCGGTGATGTTCTCGGACTTATTAATCCATCAATCTCGATCTATCTACAAAGTCCTCGAGATGCATGGAATACTTGACCATATACCAGGTGTTATTCCAACAGCATGCCCCTTCACTTTCCAATATAGCCATAGATGCACTCCGCTCACCTGCACTTGCAACCGTGCATTCGGGTTCAAGTTCACGACGTCTTCTGCCGAACCTCGTATCCCTCCGATATGTCGGTCCTATTACGCTTGATAGCCACGCGTTTTTAAATATGCTTGACGCGAGGTATAATGTTGGCGGTACAGGTGATGTCCCTCAACTCAAATCAGTTGCGGTTCACAGCTATGATGAGAGTATCGATGAGATCGTTGGCCTTGCCCAGGTGGAGTCGTTGAGGGCACAGGGAATGAAGGTGGATTTGCACTATATAGGATCCGGTACAATGGATTCATAGGGCTTTACCGTGACAAAAATTATCTTCCTAGGTACAGAGGGATTTGAGGAGGGTACAACAACAGTCCACCAAAGTTCTAAAATCTTACAGTCTCCCGTCAGCCAAGTGTATCGCGTTCCAAACCGAGCCTCTTCATTCTGCTTTCCCATTTACGATGGACTTTGAGCCTGACCGCCGTTGTCTTACAAGCCTTCTCTACGATTTTCACCACTCTCCAGTCACTCGGACCTGGGTTCGTAAGTTGATGTCTTCGGAACGACAGTTAGTTATCAATTTATAAGCAGGCAGTCATTCTAAACTTACTTATCGAGCAAATGACGTTTGAGACGGTCGATCTGCCAGAGACGGTTGATCGTGTCTGGGCATTTTCCACATTGATAAATCTCTGGTGGATCGTATCCGACACAAATAGGCTTTCGGGGAGGGATCAAATGTCGTCTGTCGTATATTACATCAACGTTGACGCTAGGCCGGTCAATGGAATGCCTTCAAGTTGAGCACATAAAATGTTTGTTTTCCCATGAAAATTGAGGGATACGCACTCTTCCGTTGCATGGCGGAGTGCCTTTGTCTTTGTCGTGGCGTCGTCGTAGTGTTCAGGACAGTGGTTACAACACCAGATATGGTCCCCGGGATTCGGGTAGGGTTGTTCACGTCTTCTGATAGATTCCGTTGCCTCTGTCGTTAGAAGCGCCCAAGATGCAAGGCGATGGCCTCCCCCGTCTGGCAACAATTTCCGATCGTTAACATGAGAGATCTATGCAGCCTCACATTAATTTTGGACAGCGTCGGAATTGTACGACTTACACATTCCCGCCATGTCAAAGCCTGTTTGCCAGAGACCCCCCCATTCCGTGATATTTCGCAAGTCTCACAGAAAAACCGAGCGTCCCTTGCGTCTAGATCATCCACAGTTGCCGTTGCCGGGTCCATATCCAAAAGACCAACTAATGTGAGCACGCAAGCTAGTCCCTCAAAGCTAAAGTTGAAGTTGAGCGCGTCCGGTGATTCAAGGCATCTAAAGTGAGAGCGCAGGTCTTTCAAGCCGATCAAGACCGAAGTGTGGCGTGTCGTCCCGACAATATCGCATATGGGACAGACGAAAACATTGACGGCGAGTTCCAAATTCGTGTTATTTGGTGATGCCATCCTAGCGTAGGGATTGGCGTAGATTTCGCTTTCTCGGGCTTGCATCCAAGAACTGAGGAAAGGTACCAGGTCAGATTGCACCGACCCTTCTGGCAGCTGTCCAATTTCGTTTGATTCCGAAGCAATGAAAACCGCAAATGGACTTTCCTCCAAGAACACAGCCTCATTTGGTAAATGTGACCACGAAATGGGAGGAAGTGTCCTTTGGTGAGTGATATATAGGTCATTCACCAACTTCTTTCTTGCGACGACCAATAACCGTCGATGTTCTGCCAACCTTCGAACCTTGTGGGCCTCGGAAATGTATAAGACGTCAAGAGCAAGTTTTTTAAAAGCTTTGTCCAACTTTTAGAAGGAGGATAAATCGTGAAGAGATAAGCTTACAACCGTAATTGACCTTGAATCTTTCACTGTACGAATATCGACCAAGAAGCTCGGCTGATGCAAAATTTAGATCCACTTGATCGTGGCCGCGTCGTAAAAGGACAAAAGTATGGCTAGGGATAAAGTGCGTCGTCAACATCTCTGAGAGGAAGATGCCAAAAATATGTTTACTGAGCAATCAATCTTTTCATCTGTTCCGCCTGTTCTTCCGAAACCTGTGTGGCCATCCGCACCATATACGCGTTGGCCTTCTTTGCATCCTGTACAATGACATCAACACAACGATTTTGACAAGGACGAGCGTATTTTACTTCAAGGCGACGACTCGCTTTGTCGATTACAAAGCGCTGAAATTCCTCAAACGCTTCTTCTACCCCAGGAGTTTCGAGATCCGAGATAAAAGTGGAAAACTTCACATTCATCTTCCAGATATCCCGCATCAAATATTTGGGCTCTTCGTCATATTTCAACTCAGTTGGGTAAAATAAAGGGTCTAGTTTGGGCAGTCGGTCAAAGCAATCTTATCAAACTTAATGAAGAAATGGACCTTGGTGGTAAGTGGATGGGATGCACTTCCAAAGGACATTTACATCAGGATTTTCGCTCCAAGATCCATCAGGATCAAGGGTAGACCTGTCGACATACATGGCATCCTGTATAATTCAGAAGGACCCTCCAGTAAATTGGAATCATCACAGCTCGTAATATTTATATTTGCTTACCATGCAGAACTGACAAAGCCGCCATTGTAGGTGAAAATCGATCATGGCACCCTTCCTTCCACAATCCTACGCCGTTGATCAATACCAATGTGATTCTCAAAGGATGAAACAGCCTACATCACACGTCGCCGGGCCAAACAACATCGAAGCCCATTGGGGTTCAGACACATCCTGAGGACACGGCGGCAGAACATCAGCAGAGTCCCTAAACGCCTCCTTCCACACAGCCGATGCCCGCCGATTCAGGAGAATGGCCCTCAGTTTCTTCGATGAGCGCACAACAGAATAAAGGTCGATAGGGTGAAGGAATTCAAAGATCTAATTGGTACGTGGCTCAGTCGCTTGATGGCAAGATGCTGAGTTCTGGACAAACCTCGAGGAGAAGTTCAACGGGAAGGTCCAGAGCGCGGGATATGTCTAGGGATACGCCGGTCCTTGAAGCCTTCATCTCTAACGTTCGATGCCGTTTTATTGCACCTGCGAACCAATTGCCTGAGATGGGGCACGGAGATGAGTATGATCCACATTTCCGAATCTTCGCCTGATAACTCACTGTTTCCAAACGATTGGTTAGAGTAACCGCCCATGTCAAATGGCGGAACCAGCCCATAAACCTCATTGAGCTCCGTGTCAGTCTGCAGGTTATCAAATGGCAGGATCCCGTTGTTCGGAAAGATCACAACGATCTCATCATCCGAGTCTTGATTCAGTGGTGGCATTGCCCATGGACTCGAACTGTGCAGAGTTCTGCGACTGTCAAGGGTTGAGTGATCTGGGAATAACGTAGTTTGAACGTAGTCTAATACCTTTGTTCAACGCGGAGGCGTTGTAATTAATGACCGGTGCCGGTGACCCTTCGCGCTACTGAAGTGATCTGAGGTAGATGGTGAAAGCAAACTTGAAGTCACTTGACTTTCTTGACAAAACATGACGTCATCGAACCGGCATTCGGACCGCCATGAATGTGACCACCTGTCTGCCCCCTTCACCACTCAATATCGTTACATTTTACATAAAAACAGCTATCTACGCTCCACCCCAACCTGCATAAGTTATCGTGTCCACCGACGATGTTATAGCTTCCGGCAGTCGATGTGAGTGGTTAGAAAAGCACTGATGACCAGCAGATTAAACGGCTCCGGAACGCCTCCAAGAGGGGGAAGGGTAAAGCTCAGGTCAGAAATCCGAGAGCTCAACTTTCAAGCAAACACGATAGACTGATGGAGCCTTGTACATGTACATGAGCTGCGTGGCGATCCCTGCGTAACGCTGATGAAGTTCAGTCGCACCCCAATGAGAAAAGACGAAGCACGTACTTAAATGACCAACCACGACGACACCCCAATCAGCTTGAGCTTGACACCATACCCAACCCGCTTCTATCTTCCTACATCGACCGACGGAAGCATGCCCGCAGCCACGTCCTCGCTCCGCCTCCCCCGCATTCGAAACCCCAGTCCAAGCCATGCGGATACCTAGCTCCCGTGTCCAAGGTACTTAACCCCCGCCTCCAGATCGTATGCACTCCCAATATCCATCACCCTCCGCGACTGCCTTGAATCTCCGTACCTTCTTCACCAAAAGAAGCATTAGAGTCCTGCATGGGGAACTATAGTTGAGCAACCACCACAGCTTGCCTCCTTGGTATTCTTTGGGCGTTAAGACGGTGTCGGAGGGGATGATGTCAAGGTCAAGGAGGCGAGACAAGGGGCGGGATAGTGTGTTCTTGGGTTTAGGCACTGTCGGATTCATCCGTTGCGTTTCGAAGGGTGTGAGATCGTTTTGTTTTCGTGTCCGCTGTCTGGAGATAACGAGGCGCCCAAACCCAGAGCCTCAACCGTGATACAGTCCTGCGAGAAGGGCGGAGGTGCATGAGCTGTACTCGGCCGTGTTGCTTGACTAGGGAACGTGGACGCTGCAGTGCATCTCCTCAAGGCGAACATTCGACATCAATCGTATTTAGCATCCCATCCCACGGACGCATAAGGTGTAAGAGGGCAGGTTTGTTTGATATTGGGGTAGATAATTGGCGGAAAGGGATGAAGGCACAAAAGAGGAAGAGGGTGAGAATAGAAGAAAGAGGCTGGGGAGAAAGAGGGCGATGAAAAAAGGGGGAGTGTGAGCGTCAAAAGGAGAAGGCAGATGAGGAAGGAGGTATATGTCAGAGAAAAGGGAACAGAAGTGCAGTGATTGGGGCGAGGTACGAAGAGGAAATTGGAGGGAGAGTGGGAGGGCGAGGGAAGGGGAAGGTGGAAGAGGAAGAAGGGAAGGCGAAGGGTAACCGGTAAGCGTCCAGGCTGAACCTCGGTGGGAAGGGGAGTTTGAAGCTCAGCGTGCGGGAGTCTGAATTATTCCGGCGCGTGGGGGTTCAAAAGAAGGGGCCTGGTAGAGGTGGGGTCAACATGGGGGGGAGAAGTGGCCATGCATTTCCAAACGCTTCTCGTAGGTCCAAAAACGACTGTGCGGAGAGGGTGAACTGAGAGGACTTGGGATGGAGTATCATGTCCCTTTCCACCTGTAACGCGTCCACATCCATGTCCTGCCCGATTGGCCATCTGAATATCCTTTCCGAGAGGATTAGTGCGCTGATATACGAGCCATGGCATTCAGAAAGTTGGCATAGCTTCTTCATATCGATTTCGGCTTCCAGAGGGGGGTAGGGATCTTTCCTCAACTACGGAATCGATTGCGTACAATGTAGAGGCCCTGCCGAGGGCGTGTTTACAGCGGAGGCAAAGGCCCATTCAGCGGATTGGGGTGCCGGCAGGCGAGCGTGTGGGTGTGTAGCGTTAGCTAGTCCTGGGCAGACGCCAAAGGCCCATTACCAGCTGTAGGCGCCCGGCCCTGACGCGTTGGTGGATAGGCCGAAAGATAGGTTGTACCATAGTGGTACACTGTATTGACATTCAGGTCAATCAATTTCTATGTGTGTCTCGTCAGCGTTTTACGGGGTGAATGTGGAAAGAAGGGGAAGAACGAGGAGCCACGGAGCGTTGAGGCAAAGGGGGAAACGAATGGTTGAAAAGCGGAAAGAGTTAGAAAAAAAACGCACCATGGTCCTAGACTTCTAGTCTCCATAATCCAACTTCTCTTGTACCGTTGACACTGGTACCGACAGCAAACGGATCCGTTGTTCCGTACTAGATGGGGGTTGCTGTCGCCCTTAGAGACACGACGCAAGCACTAGGCGCAATAGAATTGACGTTGCTGTTGGTTTGATCTTGATTCTTATGAGCAGGACTCGGAGCGGAATGATGGCCAGGAGAGCGCACGGGCCATTCCGAAACTCTTCAAAAAATATGATGGCCAACCTTAGGCAAATCACAAAAGTAAGAGGCTTGTACAACCTTCTCGACACATGCGGAACTAAAGGATATACTGTGTAGACGAAACAATTATACAGGCCGCGCGGCCCTATTTGTTGAAACTTTACGACCGACCTCCTTGGCTCCCCTCACTGGCAAGATAACTTTCCACCGTACGCATCACAATACTGAAATCCACGGCGTCCTTGACCTGCTTTGTGCAGGAAACGAAGTTCCTATGCTACTCAAGGCCGCATGCTATCAATTAACACAGGTACCAACCACGACCTTTGTCAAAAGTTTCCTCCTCCATGACTTCCGTTGAAGCCAGATCTTCCTACATGGCCTCCATCATATACGGACCCACCATGGCCCCTCCGCGGCGTAACACACGGCTTCCCCAATACTTTAGGAGCCAAGAGTCGCCCTCCAGATCCCCATTCTCTAAAGGAGGCCACCCTGCTGCCACAAGGCATTCGAAATATTGAGTTTCGGCACGGTTGACGCGTGGGTGGCCGTTACTTGTACTCGAGCCACCGCCATTCATGCCGCAGAGGGAAGTCAAGGTCAAAGCATGTGGATGGCCCCACAAAGTTTGTGCACAAAACAACACCCCTCTGATCCAGGTTCGAGTTCTACTCGCTTTGTATCTTGTGTGTGTTTACCATATTCAACAGGTCACTGCTGTGCAAAATGTACGATTACTGTGAAATTTTGCATGGCTACGCCCGGCGGTCGCACAGCAGTGCACGGTCATGCACTGTAAATTTCCTGTGCCCAAAGCATGTGGTCAGAAAACAATCTCCACGCCACTTTGCTTGGTCCTTGTCGCTGCCTTTAGTATTTCGGTGGACACGGACCTTCAGGGTCCATCACGTTGTCCTCGAGCTTAAAAACCGAAACGCCATCAGGTCTTTTCAGCGCATCAAGCTTTCCCCCCATCTCAGCTACTCAATCCGACCGTGCTGGTACTCCCCATAGGCTATCATGGGTACGGCCAATACTAAGAAGTGAGTTGTCTACAATCAGCAAAGTGGTTAGGCACGCGCTGACAGCACGCAGGTTCAAAAACTCGGAAATGCCTCTGGAAGAAGAACGGGTAAAACTAGAAGCGAAAGTTGTGGAGCTCGACGATCTTATCAAGGTACACCTTGACTGCATGGCTAACTTGACGAACCACAGTGTGGCGGTCAAACGCCAGTTGAATGCCCGAGTCCCGTTCGCGCGTCTTCCAATCGAGCTTGTAACAATGACTTCCATATGGCGGTTGTTCTGCACATTTAATCCCCGCACGCAACTTTCCGAGCGCGCACGCAACTTTCGACCAGCGCGCAACTTTTGGATGCTAAATTCGGTTGTTTGGTCTAGCATTTCTCATGCAACGTCACCCAAGCAATCCTCAACATCGTCCCTCGTTGAACACGGCAAGCTCACATAATGTACATCTATTTATTGCCTAAATCTTCTTTTCTCTGTTTCAATTTTAAAATAGTACGTAGAGTATCATTGCAGAATCTATTGTATCAAATAATTTGCATTGAAACTAAGGTACGAGCTCATTGTGCTTGACAGCGAGCGGCATATGTCCGTCAACGTGTGACAGTGTAGAAGGTTGACGTTGCAACATGAGAAGCGATCAGGCGGAGTCTCAATATCCTTCTAAGGTAAATTCCATCATCAGGATCGGAATTATCGGCTTGATCATTGCCAACTACCAAATCCGGTACTGGTTCTCACCATATCCCCCGAGCCACTGTTACTCTCAAGCATTTTGTTATTTATGCTGTAATTTAGTGTGTCATGTATGTTATTTGATAGAAAGGTAGTATAATAGTATAGCAATGAGAATATAGGGGCAGTTTACATGGGAGATGGTGCATGGAGAGGGGTGGAGGAGCATACTACTCATCAGTTACATCACCAGTCTTGCCAATAACCTTCATTACTACGTATAACAACTGATTCACATGCTACAGGATACCCTTTGGTCAATTTGAAGCAAGCAGATGGCCTGGGGATGACTATAAGAATTAATATGAAGGAGATGAATAGGTATTAGGAATCAGTGAAAAGTGCGAAATTGTGACCTGGTCATTTTAGATAAAAATTATATGAAGTGGTAGAAGGTAGGGCTGGGGTAGCTAGAGGGTGGTTCAAAAGGAATTACATGGAAGAGTTGATGCCTTTACATAGTCGGAAGTTGCGCTGTGCGGTCAAATTTAGCATCCGAAAGTTGCGTGCGGGGATTAAATGTGCAGAACAACCGCCATACTTCCACTTCGCTTGCAACGCGGACTATGAGCCTTTTTCACCCCTGCGCATTGGGAGTATCTGTCACCACTGGCGCACTATAGCTTGGTCCGCATCTGAACTCTGGAGCTCCGTTACAGTGGGCTTGGAAGTCTCAAGGGAGGCTACGAAAAAGCAGGAAGATCTCCTCAGTGATTAGTTATTGCAGGCAAGGAAACAACCATTGTCCATAACGATCGCAATTCACGAAGAACACGACCTGTGGTGGGAAGATCCCCCAGCTGACAACTCGGTCCTCTCTTTGCTGCTTGCGCACTCCGGACAATGGCGCTCCGCTGATATCGGCATTCCAAGCACATTGTTGCACCTTCTGCCTGACTGGTTCAACGCGCCTATTCTTGAACGTCTCACGGTAAGATGTGATCTTGAAGGTTACTCAGATTTTCCAGTGATTGTGCATGCACCTCGGCTTCATTCGGTGACTCTGGTTGGTTTATATCAAATGCATCCAGTGATGCTTCCCTGGGAGCAGGTGAAAGCGCTTCAGATCGAAGGGTATGGCATCCAGGATTACCTGGATACTCTCTAGCAATGCTCAAGCCTTGTGGATCTCGTGCTGAACGAGCAAGGCTGTAGAAGACGCGAGTCTACCACTACACCCCTTACGGTCATCAAGCTCAACAGCCTCAAATCGCTTCGTGTCAATGTTCTTGGCGAAAACTATTTGATGCTGGACAGGCTCTCTACACCCCACCTCGAGGACTTAAATGTCTTTTCCTCTGAAATCAGCCAAGCTTGTTTGAATTCCTTCCGGACCCTCATCTTCCGCTCGAGCTGTGCGGAAACTATAACGCGCTTCTCCTTTCTCGGCTACATATTCTCGGAGCAAGAAATGACCACATCTTTCCAAGCTGGTTCTGTACAACTCCAAGCACGCCCCTCCATTCTCCAGTAGATTCATTGATGCGCTACACTCACGCGCCGGAAGCACAGACTCGGAGAGTTTCCTTCTGCCACACCTCAAGCTCGTCCACTACACCGGCCCAATCATGCTCGATGCGAGATATACCAATGCCAGTAAAGCTGCTAAACTCGAAGCGGTCTCAATTCGCGGCTACGATCAAGTTGTTAAGAAAATTTCTGATTTACCCCAAGTGCCGATGTTGCGGGTGCAAGGACTGGTGGTGGATGTACTAGAGTAGCTTGACACGATCTCGAATTGAGTTGTCAGTGCGTACGCGCGTATCCTTGGTGCTTTGGTGTTTGACCCTTTGATTGAATCTACACGAGACCTCTTATATATGGCACCGTTGAAATATACGCACCCCTTGAAGCTTTCTATTATGTATGTTGGGTAAGAATTTCGTGTTCATGACTTAACTATGTAAGTCGATCATGGCCTCTGGAGCCTTACAGTGGGGGTGCAGGATCAAATATCTCTTCAACAGTAGTGTCCAACCCCGACCTAACCAACATCCTCTGCACACTTGAATTCAAGACTGTCATCTCCCCCACGTCATGCAGGGGTATCGATCCAGTACACAATGCCATTTCCCCTTGCTCCCTACCCTTCTCCTGCGCCTTATCACCCCCAAGATAACCTCCCCTCGCGATACTCAACCGCCGGCGTATCCAAACCATGCAAACCTCCAAAATCTGGATCCGACCCAATCTCCGCAACTAGCTTGAACTCCTTCGAAAACGGATGCATCGAAATGGGGATCTAACTGCTTCTTTCCTATTGACGTGTAGAGGCAAAAGTGAGGATAACATTGAGGTCGAGGTCAAGAGCACTCTAAGGGGCTCGAGTTTGATGTCGTTAGCAGCAGCAGCGGGATTATCCTTCGCGTCCGCTGTCTGGGAATACGTAGACGCCCGCCCTTCCCACTGTCCGATACCTTAGGCAGAGAATCCCAACTCATCGTATTAGTTACGCACACATGAACTGTGTGATAAAAGATGTTTGGCTTGTGTGCGCAGCTCGAAGAAAGACCGGAGACGGAAGAACGATGGAAGGGGGACAGCGAGATGGAGATACTGCACAGAGGCGTTGTGTTTCATCTTTCGGGGTGGATATGCTGTTGATATTTTGGGTAAGTACATTGTGTGAAAAGAGTAAAAGGAGGGGGAAGAAAGGAAGAGGAGGAATGGGAGGAGAAAACAGGAGGGGAGGGGAGGGGAAGACGACAGAAGAGGGAGAGCAGGAAAGGGGTGTGGACTCGAAAAGAGTCAAAAGACAACTCCTTTCTTTAGTCGTCAGGTGTCGAGACGAGGAAGAGAGGGAAAGCACTCACTCAGTACTCATATCTCAATTGCAAATTCCGAATCTCACGAGATGGTTGCCGTAATGTCCAGGACACGGATTATAAGGCTCTGCTTGTGTGTGGTAGTGTTTGATCATGTTTAACCGATCCGCCTAATATATGACGACATCATTCAAAATTGGTCTAAGAACATACAATACAGCCCTTCTTTGCTTGTCCTCCCCCATCATCATTAGGTCAACTGCTTCTGTGAGACCTCACCAACTACCCTCTTCATCTCACTGATGCAATAAACGATCAGGTGCGACCTAGGACCTACATTTTCTTACAAAGACAGCTCATTCCAAACCCACTTCTGTGAGTTCAACTGAACCCATGCGCCTCCTATCACTAAGTTTTATTCACAGAAAACATGCCCAACATCAACTATCTGCTTCCCCAGGCCTTCACCCCCAGTGACTGTTCTGGAATCACCAACCCCACAGAGTTGGAAGCCATGCTCAAATATGCCCTGTCTAGGTACAAACTTCACATTGAACGCACCTATAAGTCTCAAGTTGCCTGGGCTGCTTTGTTACTACCACCATTTCTCAATGAGCCTGCTGATGCCCCCACACTCACCATGGCTCAGCGCATCATTGAAAAGAGGGAACTGATGCCACATTATCAGCCTTTTGGAGAAAAGCACTATGAACCAGGCCAGCCTCAGGATGATATCCATGAGATCCGAGACACCATCCTCATTGATGCCCAGCCGCTTTTCACATACTCGTGTGCTGACAGGGTTGAACAACAGGTCACCCACCATGGTTTAGACATCAGTGGAGGAGCAGAGTGCATATACCAACACCAGCAGAGCAGCTTTCCTGTTGGTGCCTATGGAATCACAATCCCACCCTACAACCAGGACATTAGTCAGGCTGCCATGCGTTGTGAGTTCTTTGATGTATAGCAGTTTATCCCTTCCATTCATGCCGATTTAGCTTTCATGCAAACACCAATTCAGACCAACCATTGGATCATGTTCATCCCCACTACTGGCTTCTCACTGAAAAGCCAACTCATCTTTAGCCACCCTAATAGTGGTTTCAAAGAAGTGTTCAACCACTATGGTCTGGCAACACCTCACCTTTCCCCTGGCACCTATTTGCCATATGACATAGTTGCTATTGGCGACACCCTGATCCCAGAGGAGATACCAGGCACCCATATCACCAGCAGCAGCACCAGTGAATCATGTGTCTTTGTCACAGAGAACACTGGATCCACCTCTCATTCCACATGAAGGTTAGATTGGAATGGTGATGTAGCATTGGATGTCCATGAGGCTGATGTGTGTTTGGTTTGTGACTTGATTCAGATTTTTACCTTTTACCTCTCCATTGTCTACTACAAGGGGTATGTAAAAAATTTGTTTAGTACATGACGTTGTATTTTTCATTTAAGGTCAGTTTTTACCATCCCCCCCTGCCCAACCTTCCTAATTAGGAATATATTTCCATTTTAAGCGGTCCCTGAGTTCTATTTTCAGTGGTCCCTGAGCTCTATTTCTGTCAGCGTCACTTCCATCTTGCTGCAGTGGAGTCACCAACAGAGGAGTCAACAATTATTAACACACTGCGCACCCATTTGGCAAAAGACTGGTTGTTGAAGGAGACACCTCGTGACCTCAGTTGTTTCCGCGTACGCTTTATTTGTTCATTCTCGATCTCTCGTCTCTTTTCAATTACCCACATTTACCTCCGGTATTTACCAGTCTTTACTCAAGCCACCCGTTTTTCTCATATAAATACTCAAACCTTATTTCCCCTCTCCTCAGTTGTCACCACATCCGTGTCTGACTGAGGTGAGTTTATTCCTACTTACATTTACATACTCGATACTAACACTACCTGTTACTTAGATCTTCATACGTTAACAGGTAGCTTAACAATATAGAGTCGTCACCACATCCGTGTCTGACTGAGATCTTCATACGTTAACACTGGTACACTAGTGTTTGAAAGTCCGGTTCGGTCTAGTGTTGCCACGGCTCAGCTAGCCGCAAGCCAGCTCGCTGAACCGGCGGCTTTTGCCGGTTCTGGTTTGTGGATCGCTCGAGAGCTGATCAAATCCGGTTCGGCTCAGCTTAGTCGGTGGCTTTGAACTGGTTATAGCCGGTAAATGTTGCGGCAATTGATGACTCGCGCGTTAAGTAGAATGAGGGTAAATATATAATAGAATTCAAGGAGAATGTACATTGTGATGGTAAGTAAAGTTGTATACAATAATATCTCTATCAATCCTCGTCATCCTGTCCAACAACGTGAATTACCTCATCAATATCTATACCATCCTCCATAATTTCTGAAGTTAGCTTCCCTAACAAATCCACTGCATCTTCGTCGTCATCTGCGTAGTACTCGAGTTCGTCTTCTGTGACAGCCCATCCCTCCGTAAAGTTTAGCCGTTGCTGCTTGAGCAAAAATTTTAACATTTGAAGCGCCTCCATTAGAACAGGGTGGATTCGATTTCGCCTCTTTGTATCAGTTTCAGCACTGGATGAAAAAACGCGCTCGGAAGGAACCGAGGATGCTTGAATGGGTAAATAATCTAATGCCATCGCATATAATATTGGATGAGTTTTATCGCCTATCTGTAAAGAAATCAGTGACGCAAATTGGAAAATAGTGAGGCATTGTACTTACCGCCCAAAACGCTACAATATCTGTGCCACGCGGTGAGAGCGGCCCATTTTCGTACGACTCAAACTGTTCTTCAACTCCTTGGACCTGCTGCGAAGAAGCACCCGAAACATCCATCATATCTTCGAGCCCGTATTGTCCAGCTAAGTCATGCCAGCTTTGCCTCTGTTGCTGCAAGGCCGCTGTACCAGGTGTAGGTTGTTGAACTTGTCCATGAAGACGGTCATGGTATTTTCGCATCTGCAACAAGTATGTTAGCGTACTGTCACCGTAACAAACTGAGACACTTATGGTATTCTTTATAATTACAGTGGCCCTGGCAACGTAATTAGGCTCCCAGTGTCGTCGAATCCACAACAATCATATTGAGGGATTGAGAACTGATGATGTCAAGTTATTAAATGATCTATGAATTTGAACCTTAACTCACACATCGCAATAATGTAGGCAGGCGAATCATCCATTTTCTTGTAGTAAGTTGTCGCCCAGTCGATACCGATATCCATCCATCGGGCCAAGTGGGGGTGTTCTCTCCCAAGTTGCTCCCATGCCGTCATGAACATTTTGAACGCGGGAATTGCGCCTGATAAAACGGGAGTGCGCTCTTTCGACATGATTTTCTGCACTTGATGGGGTACCTAAGAAAAAGACTTAGCCTCGAACAGGTATCAATATTAGAGACATACACCCAGTACGATCTCAAAATCCTGGAGTACAGTCCATTCCATATCAGTAAGTCTAAGTTTCGCAAGCTCTCTATTGACGGGCAAAGAAAGAAAATACTCGACGGCCTATTTTCATAAGTATACACTTATAAAACGATAGAGTTCAAATGTACCGGGCGTAGTTTACGAAACCGATTGATCATGAAGTAAAGAGAGTCCCACCGAACCTTCATGTCACGTATAAGTTGTGCCTGCTTAACCTGTATAGTCATGGTCAGATCCCCGGTTGACTTGAACCACCCTTTCTTGTTTCCATCCTCTATTACTTCTGCCAGATGGTCATGTCGTTGACCTGAGGCGCGTACTGCTTGTACGGTACTCCGGCACAATGCAATTGGGTCGCGAGCAATTGCTTCTTCGTAGCTCTGATTATCGGGATCGCTTGGAGGGCCTGATGCGGATGCGACGAATCCCCCTGTATCATCTACCAGGGTGATATCAGTAAATGCATCGATGATGTGATTCGAACATATGTTGGTAACGTGTGGGAAGCATCTTATATGATTCTCCTTGTGATTAAACTCAATGTCGCGAGGGCGTAAAAGTAACTCGAGTTCTCTGAGGAAGCATCGTTGAGCAAGCAGTTATCGAGAGTCCAATGGCCTCCCTGTGCACGTAAGCATAAAGTAGAAAAGGGAAAGAAAATGAAACATAGACGTGCCTTGACTGTGATCCCAACTCGATCCAAGAGATGGAGGACAACCCTTGCTAGCCTCTTCCTGTTGTGGCTTCCTCGAAGACGGTGAAATGCGATGAGTGTAGAACACAGCTGAAGACCCTTGGTAGACTTGTCTCTATGTATCCAATGTGCGGTAATGGCCAGGTATGGGTACCGAGCTTTTGTTGACCAAATATCCGCCATGTAGGAAATGCGTCCTGGCACATCCTAGAGCGATCAGTGAATACAAGGAAACAAAGCAGTCAATTGAAACAACATACTGCTAATTCCTGTTTTAGGACCTTGAAATACACATGCCATGCCTTGATAATGGATTCGCGCATCTTCGTTCAGCGGGGAATGTCTTTGTCCTCGAGGTCCTCACGTAAAAGCAAGAGGAGCTGTCGAAATTCTGGGCATTCAACAACATTTATAGACTACGAAGAAGGTTAGACTAATACCAAACATTAAAAGTGCTTTACCAACCTGATCATCTGCAACGATGAAATTGAGAAGATGCTGTATCAATGCCTCCTGGGAAAATGGCAGACATTGTGTTTCATGTCCAGGGGGCGCAGGGGCTGTTCCAGTTTCGCTTGCGAGTGCAGGGACTTTCCATCTCATTTCACGACACTTCTGGAGATAAATATCCTTGTGGCGGCTTAGGAGGTGGTTGCGCAATGGGTTATTTAAGGTGGACACTGAGAAGCTACCTGCACCCTGGCGCAAGTCTATCCCATTCGCCCTACATAACAATCCTTGTCAGTACAATGTATAAAATTATCGATGACCACGTACCTGCATAGCTTACATAGAGTTCTGCTTACCAGAGGCGTCTTGTATCCGCGTTCAAAGAAAAAATCAATATCTGGGGCTGTTCGGCTCCGTGAGGGTTCTGAGGCTCTCTCAGAAGGCGTGACAGGTCTGGTGGAGGCAGCAGAGCCAGCTACAGGCTCGACACTCGCGGGAGAGATTGGTTGTTGTACATCTTCATCGGCAGAATGTTCGTCCAAAGGAGTGAAGTCGAATTCTTCTCCAGAACCGGCATCTTCACGAAAGTTGACTGGCGCTGCTCTATGGCCAGCTGTACGAGGAGGTGCTGGCTGCTGTGTCGGTTTTCTGGCTCTACCTCAGGCCATTACGAAGCTGGGTGATTTACAGAGATAGAGATATTGTTTGGTATTTTATACAGAACCATAGCACCTCACATGCCGTTAGCGCGTGTTTCTATCGTAATTAATGTAACAGTTGATTCAATCGAATGTCTCATCTACTAAGACGTTACAGATAACTAACTTGAGGCTTTACAGCCTAAAATGTCGAACCTAGTACACCCGTCTCAATCGGGGAGCTGTTGAGGAGTGGCTTCATCCAGCTCAACAGGGTTCTTGTTGTTATCGATGAAATCCTTTACATGTATGTTAGTACCATGGAAATAATTTGAGGCATGATCGACATACTGAATCTATCATCCTCCGATCCTCCACCCACATTGTCGTCGCATTGTCCACACCAGCCTCAATTGAGAAACTTGCAAAGGGCACAAGGAATCTGCCGAGAAAGTGAAATAAACACGAGGTTAATAGCAATGAGTAAGGCTGACCTTTATCCATAATGAAGAACGCAGGAGAAGGCTTCTTCGGCGTGATCGATAGAGATCATAGAGTATTCCAATCCCATACCAAGGCTTTGGGTCCACAGATGAATGCACATTATCCACCAGGCATCGTGCATCCAGGCACATTATCAATCGCATATCTGGGTGTGTCACCCATCACATGTCTGGGTGCATTATCCATCGTGCGTCCAGATGCATTTACGATTGTGCGTTCAGGCACACCGTGGACCCATGTATCTGACCGTGTTTCTCTATCCATCGTGTATCCACGCACACTAACCCAGACATTTTATCATGGCTTGTACTTCTTTTCACGGCTATTCTAACACTATTTACTGGGCATAGCTACGGGGTATCTACTGTGATGTAACTACTACAACATATCTACTATATCTAAGATGGAAGGAGGGATGGGGAAAGGAAAAGAAAAGCGAAGAACGTTCCAGCGCTATATATCCCAGGCACTTTAGGGCCGCTTTTGATTGAGGGCAGGCA